GGTGGGTGGGTGGGTGGCTGGTTGGTGGTGGGTGATTATGACCTCAGGAAGGTGGGGGTGTGGGTGGCTGGTTGGGTGGTGGTGGGTGATTCTGACTCACCATGTAGCTCAGGAAGAGGGATGCAGCCCCTCTCCACACAGTCCCTGCGCACCCTAGGGTGCTCTGGCATCACCTCGCTGGGCGGGTACTTGGTGCCCGTGGGTGCCACAGTGGCTGTGCTGAGCCTGTCATCTCCCGCAGACCCTCCAAGAAGAAGATGCAGTGCATCTCCAACATCTCCATCATGGTGATGTATCTCATGTACTTCTTGGCTGCCCTCTTCGGCTACCTCACATTCTATGGTGAGCCCTCGGGGAGGGGGCTGGGGGCCCTGCCGGCACACTGGCACCGGGGCAGGGGTGGTGGTGCTGGGGCTCACCCAGCAGCTCCCCACTGGTGCCTACAGGCCGGGTGGAGTCGGAGCTGCTGCACACGTACAACAAGGTGGACCCCTTCGATGTGCTCATCCTGTGTGTGCGGGTGGCTGTGCTGACAGCTGTCACCCTCACTGTCCCCATCGTCCTCTTCCCGGTGAGTGCCCCCGTGGGGATGCCAGGTGACTCTGCCACCCCCCAGCTGAAACAGGACTTCAGCACCAGGCTTCCAGTTAGGAAACTGAGGCAGCGATGGGGCTGAGGCCCAGGGACAGGGTGGCAAGGTGCAGGGATCAGGCAACAGGACCAGCTGGGTGTCCAGGACAGGGCTGGTGCAGTGGTAGAGGTGATGGAGACCAGTGGGGCTGTGGAGACGGGGCTGGGACAGGGGAAGGAGGGACAAGAACCAGTGGGGCATCAGGGCTGGGGCAGGGGAAGGTGTGATGGGGACTGTCAGGACCATGGGGACAGGGCTGGGAAGGGGTGACAGGGACCAGTGGTGCCATGGGGATGGGGCTGGGGCAGGGGAAGGGGTGACAGGAACCATCAGGTCTGTGGGGACAGGGGGTGGGATGGGCCCTGCATCCAAGGATGGATCATGACACCCCAGCCTGTCCCCAGGTGCGCCGGGCCATCCAGCAGATGCTGTTCCAAGGGAAGGACTTCAGCTGGATCCGCCACATCATCATTGCTGTGGTCCTACTGACCTTCATCAACCTCTTGGTCATCTTCGCCCCCTCCATCCTTGGCATCTTCGGCATGATCGGTGTGTGGCAGCACCCTGTCCCGTCCCTCCCCGGGGTGCTGGGTGTTGTGGGCAGCACGCCTGCCCCTGCCTGCTGCTGGGCTTTGACTGACCTCCCAGTTCCTCAGTTTCCCCTTCTCACTGTGCAGAGACCAGGTGGCGTGTGGGGGTCCCCATCCCTGTCCCGGCAAGCTGGTTCCTGAGGGGGGGTGCTGGCTGTTTACTGTGCGGCCGGCCGGCGCTGGCTCTTCCCCTGGTTATTTCCCTTGATTCCCCAAGCTGGGCTCCCCCTGCTCGGCACCTGGCTCGGTGCCAAGGCCTTGGCTGTGGAGGAGTGTGTGGGGACAGTGCCAGGACACGGCGTCCCTCGGTTCCTGGAAGGCTTTGCCAGGGCTGGGGGTGGCTGGAGGGGGGCAGGCAGGACCTGGTCCAGCAGTGGGGCTGGCAGGGCTGAGCCGTGGGGCGGGGGCCCCCTACCCGCTCTGTCCCTGTCTGCTCCAGGTGCCACCTCTGCTCCCTGTCTCATCTTCATCTTCCCTGCCATCTTCTACATCCGCATCATGCCCAAGGACAAGGAGCCGCTGCGCTCCACCCCCAAAATCTTGGTAAGCATGAGGTGGGGGTGGGGAATGGGGACAGGGATGAGGGTCCCGGGGCTGGGCTGCAGACCCTGTCACCCTGGCCGTCTCCCTGACCTGCTTCCCTGTCCCCACAGGCTGCTTGTTTCGCCCTCCTTGGGGTGCTCTTCATGATCATGAGCTTGAGCTTCATCATCATCGACTGGGCCACGGGTGGGGGGAAGAGCGGCGGCAGCCACTAGCCAGTACCGGGTGCCCATGCCAACCTCCCCCCCACCCACCAGTGCCCCAGGGAGAGCTGGCCCTGGGCTCAGTCCCTGTGCCACGGCCCCAACGGGCTTCCCTGGGGACCTTCCGCCATTGCTGCCCATCACCTGCAGTGGTGGTGAGGGGGTATGAGCCATGGCAGGTGCGGGGACCCCCCGACCCGTGCCCGGGATAGGGCAGTGAGCCTGGGGCAGGTGCTGTGCCCCACCCCCGCTCCAAAGGGTACCCTCCCTGCTCTGCGCCTCAGTTTCCCCATCTGTAAAATGGGGAGAATAACACTGCCCTACCTCACCGGGAGCTGGCTGTCAGGTGGAGCTCATCTCTGCACACCCAGAGCCGCTGGCAGTGGGCACTGCCAGGGGCGTGGGGCACTGCCCGCCGTGGGAGCCGAGGACTGGGGTGCTTTCCTGGTCCCCCCAGACAGCATCGAGAGCCCTGATGAACCGTGTCCGTGGGGGGCTGGCGTCCAGCGGGGTAGTTGGACCTGTGGCAGCACCCATGCCCACCCGGCCTCTCCCCCTGCCATCCCCTGGACCCTGCAGAGATGCCACCCCACTGCCCTGGCATCGCAGGGGCACCCTGGCCCCCACGGTACCCAGCCCGCTGCTCTTGAGCCTGCCGAGGGAATGGTTGCCGCCCGGTGCCCGCAGATGGGACCCTGGTGATCCCCAGGCCGTGCTGGGTGACCGGCTGCATCGCTGTGGGGAGGTCGCACGCCTGTCAGGGCTTGGTGCCCGCTGGCATCCTGCCTGTGCTGCAGCTTGGCTGCCCGGGGCCTGGCCCCCCTGAGGGGTGTGAGTGGGGGAAGCAGAGGGCTGGGGGCAGCTTGGGGCTCCAGAGCCACCCCCCCGTCTGTGTGCCCAGACACCACGGTGACGGGCACCCCTGCAACGCAAGCTGGCCCTGCTCGCCCTGCACCCAGGGCCAGCACCCAGACCCCCACAGCCCTCTCCCAGCCACCCCCCCATGCCGCTGGGATGCCCCACGCCATGCCAAAACCCGGAGAGTGGCTCTCTCACCCCCCGCCTCCCTTCCCAGCGTGGGGGGGCAGCCCGGGTGGGGGGGCTGTCCTGCGGTGAAGTACATAAGAGACGTATTTTTTTACCGGGGTGGTGGAGGCCAGAATGCTTTTTATAAATACTGTATATAAGAGTAGATCTTTTTTAATGTGTTGCGTTGCTCTGGGTAGTTCTGTATAATGTACATATCTATATGGGGTGGAGGTGGGGGGCTGTGACCCAGCGCCAGTGCGGGGCACTGCTGCGGCCCCTCGCCATCACCCTGCGACTGCCGGCTGCAGCGTGGTCCCGTTGGCCCTGTCCCCAGCCCGGCTGCCCCGTGCCCACCCCTGCGCTGTGCTGGGGGGGCAACGCTTTTAAATTATCCGTGGGGGCGATGTCTGTGCTGGCAAGGAGGCCGGCCAGTGAAACCTCCAGCAGTGAGAATAAAGATGTGAATGTGCCCAGGTCTCGGGCGTCACTGGGGCGGGCGAGGAGCCGGCGCGCAGGCTGGCACACAGCACGTCCGTGCGGACACACGTGCACGTGGATGCACGGATGTATGTGGGCACAGCACGGACACATGGATGCACGGAGGTACAGCAAGACAGCACAGACTTGTGGCCACAGATGCAGAAGGTCGGTGCACAGGCATGCATGGACATAAATGGGGACAGCACGGACACACGGACACTCCCACGCACACAGGTGGATGGACGGACACAGCACACACCTGGAGATGCCTGCACGGGGACAGCAGCACACCGCGGGGGCAGCAGGCCCACGAGGATGGGGGGATAAGCACACGGGGCAGGGGCAGGGCTTTGCGGGTGCAAGGGGGTGCTGCGCTCCCACACACGGATCTGGCCTGTGGGAGACCTGCTGGGTGAGGCCAGAACGGGGCAGCAGGGTGCCCGTGGGAGCGGGAACCCCGTGGAAGTGGGACTTTTGGGCAAGCAGGACCCCTGGGGAGGAGAGCTGGAGGCATCCCGA